ACACGTTTTCCTTTTAAAATTTTAGTTGTATATGTGTTTTCCGAGTTTTTTTTTTTTAATATTCTAAAAAAAAAATTAGAGAATTGACCAACTTTTTAAATTATTCGGGAAACTAACATACTTTTTGAAATCGCATTTTAAAAATGTGATTTTGAAATTGAAATTGCATTTTCAATATGCAATTTCAATTTGAAATCGCATGTTGAAAATGCAATATATCTTAATGAAGTCCATATCATCATAAATTGCATTTTTATGCTATTTCAAGGTGAAATCGCATGTTGAAAATTGAATTTTAATTTAACGTTGCATTTTCAAAATGCGATTTTAAAAAGTAAGTTAGTTTTCCAAATAGTTTAAAAAGTGAGTCAATTTTCTAATTTTTTTTTTATAATATTTAAAAAACAAAATCTGTGTTTTCCCTCCTATATTGGAATTAGGGAAGGGAATGGCTTCCCTCCAGTCTGGAGGGTACTATTAGGCCCATGAGAGCCCACCACATGTTCTGTTTCGATAATCCAAACAGTTCAATGTGTAGAACTCGTCGAGTACTATATGTTTGTAGAAAATTACGTTGATCAGATATCGATAGCTATGTGATCAAATCTATTTTGTATGGAAAAAAAATGGATGGTGAAAAATAAACGGTTTACAAAAATCTGATTTGATCACATAGCTATTGATATCTGATCAACGTGTTTTTTTTACAAGTATATAATACTCGACGAGTTCTACACATTGAACATTTCGGATTATTAAAACGAGACCCGTGACGGGCCCCTACGGACCCAACAATACCCTCAAATTCGATCACGGACTGAAAATAAGCCATTTCCAAGAATTATCATTTAGTGCAGTGATAAGATGTGATTTACACTTACAGTGATGGTGGTGTACAAAGTATTTTTTCAATACCTTTTTTTTTTTTAAATTCATAATTAAGGGTGGAAATTTGACATATAATCAGTCAACACGACTCAAATCGTGCACGTAATTAGAAAGTTAGAGTTAATTATTTTTTAGCTCGAACCCGAATATGACACAACCTAAAAATATGAATATTAAATTAATCGTGTTTAGGTTGATCATGTGAAACCTGAAATAGACACGTTTAACTCGCATAAAAATTCGTGTCAACATGTTGACACGAATCTACTATTGACTCGTATGTAATCTGAATACAACCTGAATTTACTAACCATAAGATCTTGTGTAATTCATTTTCACCCGTTATATTAAAGCTTAAATCTCTATATAATATATATCTAAAATGAAATGCAATCCTAATTTAATGATAAATCAGTAGAAGTTAAGATTGGTAAATATGAGAGTTTTTAAATATGTGGCAGTAGTGTTTTTGTGGCATGAGTCAATGTAAAATTTTCACAACGATGCTACTTTGGATGTGACATAATTGTAACATTATTAATATTATTATTATTAGAAGCAAACTTATTTTGTTTTTTAAATTTGGGTAAATTACATTATCTCCCTTGAGGTTTCTAAAAAATACAGAGACCTCCCATATAGTTTGAATAATTACAGTAACCCCCTTTCCTTTACCTGATAATGTCAAGATTTCCCCATTCCGTCTATTTTGCACAAACGACGTTAGTATCTAATAGAAAATAACCATGTTATCCTTGCTTTTGCTTGCGAAAAGACCAAAAAGCCCTTTGTTCACAAAATCCCTAATCAAGCTGCATTCACAATACAAATGGAATTCTTCAGAGAAAGAAGAGAGAGAGGGAGACGACAGTAAGAACGTGAAGCAAGGTTGATTTGTGTGAGGAAGACGAAGAAGCTATTCGATTTTGGACCGATCGTCGTTGATAGTGCACAATGTAAAAGAGTTTTATCGGCGAGAAGTTGCTGTTACGGCTTCCAGGTAAGATTTCGGACTCTGTAAGCTTTGAATATGATTAATATGAGTTGATGATTTTTTATTTTTTTTTTCCCACCTTTTTTCTTACAAATTTGTTTCTATTTTGTGTTTGATTTGATGAAATGTATGTGAAAAGAGTTTTCTTCAAAAATATATATTTAGGGTTTATATTTTATTTGCAAAATTTCTGTCACGACCCAAACCCGCCCCTATGGGTTTAGTACCGTAACCGGCCAGTAATCCGAGATTACCGAAGGCCTGCTTAACAGTAGAACAGTAATACAGAGTACAGGGGCTGGCGGAAGCCAATACAGTAAGTAAACAATGTCCAATGAGCTATGACAGTCTGTATGCCAAAAAGACTTTTCATACATATATGCAGTCAGTGACAAAACAGTATGTACATATATACAATCATTCAGTTCAGGGACCTAATCCCTATTAAACAGTACAGTAACAGTCTAGACAGTTTACAAAACAGTTACAGAGGCAAGCGGGGGAAATTAAAACACCCCTAAGCCATAGCTTGACAGGTTCGGAACCTCGCAGTGAGGCACATAGGTTGGCTCGACAAAACTGGAGTTACCCCAACGTTTCTAGCCACGGTCTGGTGCCTGTACACCTACATATATATATGAGCAGTGAGCTAAAGCCCAGTGAATAACATAATGCGTAAAGAGGTTAAGAATGAATGTCCTTACAGTAATGAAAACAGTTCGTTAATTCAGTATATCAGTCATTCAGTCATATGTGGTACATCCATAGCATAACAGTATAGTAAACAGTAGGTCTTAAAAGACCGAACAGTAAATGATGGCCATCAATCAGTAAACAGCAGTGGTTCCAACAAGGGAACCGACAGAGATCTCTGTAACAGTAACAGTAAACAGTAGTTGCTAAGGATGCCACAATACAGTTCAGAATATAGGACATACATTCATTCAATTAACAGTATCAGTTCAGAAAGCAGTACAGTTCAATTGTTCAGAAGATAATCATTTTGAACATATCTTTACACAGTTGTTACTCACAGAGTTCTGGGCTACAGTAAAGCTAGAGCGTGTCCCCCGTCGCCAACCCTACACAGTTACAGATTGAACACACACTAAACTACATAGTTGGGAAAGATAATAACTTAATCCCTAATTTGCCTCGGTGTGTTCTATATCTATATCCTCATTAAGATGTCTTAAACTAGGCCTAAGAATGCCTAGGATGGGATGAGGATGCAAAGATGCACTTTAAAAGCATTTTCAGAATTTTCAGAAAACAGGGGTCACGCTCGAGTGTAGGTTACTCTGCTCGAGCGGACATGCAGACAAAGGTTTCCGCTCGAGCGTAGACTTTCACGCTCAAGTGTTCTGCAAAACAGGGCAAAAGTACTGGATGTGTGAAAATCACGCTCGATTGGGCGCTCGACACCCGCTCGAGCATGAGACACAATGTCCCGCTCGAGCGTCAATTATTCCGCTCGAGCGGACTTCAAAACAGTGCAAAGTACTGGGAGCACAAATTTCCCGCTCGAGCGCCACTTCCCCCGTTCGAGCGGGAGTTCAAAATCTGGAATTTCCAGATTTGAACTTCTAAGCTCAAACCAAGTTCAAATGCATTAAAACCAATTCCTTTGGGCCATTTTCCCGGAAAACATTTGTAAATACATAGAATAACATGATTCAAAGTTCAATTTGTAAAATCAAGGCCCAAAAGGAAGATCAATTCAACTCAATTTGAAACCAATTTTCATGAACATAAATCAAACATAACATGCATGAATTTAAACCATTTCAAAGCTTCAATTTCATGCTCTAATGAGCCAATTCTTTCAAGGACAAGATGAAATCATGGACTTAAACACAATATGAACATGCATGTAACATTTTACCATGAAATCAACTCACAACTCAACAATTCAGACATGCATGCATGAATTAAGCTATAATTTAACATGTTAGAACTAAATTATGACCTAGCTCCTCAATTAGACATGAACCATGCAAGGACTAGCTCGAATTCAACAATGAGAAGGTGAAATCCTTACCTAAGTCTTGAATTAGAGGTATGGAGGCTCAATGTTGCAAGTTTTCTACAATATCCTCAAGATTCCAAGCAAAACCCTCAAGAACACATCAATTCTCTCACACTCTCTCTCTCTAGATCGGTTTTGTGCTCAAATGAGGCTGAGGAAAAGTTTGTCTAATTGTGTACAAGGCTCAATATGTTGAGGTAGTGGGCCACTAAGGATAGCAATATTGCAATTAAGTCTAAGTTGTGCAATTTATCAATAATTAACCTAATTTAATTGAACTAAATCACATTTTAACTGAATATGCCATAAAATCACATTAATTCTAAGGATCATAGAACATCGATCAATTTCGGATTCAGCCGCCGATAAGGCCTTCAATTCGCAATTTAAACACAAAGGCATGAACAGATAATCAAACAGTCAACAGATAAACATACAATTAAACAGATATACTTAATCAATTCAGTTCCAGATTTCAGTCAGTTAGTTCAATACTTCAATCAATTCAGTTACCAATCATAATCAGTCTCAGTTTAGCAGTAATCAGTGGTTAATCGGTAAACAGTGACGAGGGTTGTTACAATTTCTGACTATAAAAAAGGAATTTGTTGAATATTACTATAATAATAGTGTAATGTAGGGATTTAATATAAATTTATGATTTTTTGGATTTTATTTATGAAATGTATGTTTGGGGCTTTTATTTCATTTGCAAAATTTTTGATAGGAAAAAAAGGAATTTGTTGAAAATTTATGAATTTCTGATTTCCTGGGTGTTATTCATGAGATGTATGTTTAAGATGAATTTATGATTTTTTGGGTTTTACTTATGATTGTTTAATATTGGTATAATTATAGTGTAATTTAGGGATTTCTTCATGTTTTCATATTTTCTTCATTTAATTGTTGAGTATAGTACATCTTAGGAGTTAATTTTTACATCATTTTTCTTTTTTTTCTTGTGAATTTGTCATTGTATGGGCTTACTTATTTTATTAGGGTTTTTCTTCATTTTTTCTTCTTTTCGTTAGTTAATTGTTGAGTATAGTACATGTTAGGAACTAATTGGTACGCCATTATGATCACAGTATGGCTGCATTTCCTTATTTTGATTTAATCATCAACTACAAAGGGAAAGTGGGAAGAGTGTATGATGTGGACCCAAATATGTATTGCTACATTGATGCCTTGAAGGATGTAACTGCAACAGTCCTCTCTCACATTTCTTGTAGTGAAGCAATAGCAATCACATTGCATTGTGATATGCCTGGTACTGGCACAAGGAGATTAATAGAAAATGATCTTGATGTGCTAGACATGTTTTATGTGCAAGGTAGGAGTAAAACAATTAACTTGTATGTAGACATAGCATATTCTATTGGAATGAGTGATGGTGGACAAAAAAATGATGTTGGAAATGAAAATGGTGGAGGTGGAAATCATGGAGTAGATGTAGATGAAGAGTACCATGAGGACAATGTTTATGGGTTTAGTGATGAGGATAGGGATTGGAATGCAACTGCTGAGGATGAAAACCAATCAGATGGCAATGGGATTTTGAGTGATGATGATAATGAGTGCTCAAGTGAAGATGATGATGCTGAACTTAATGATTATCAATCTGGTGATGATGAAGTTGCATATTCTTGTAGACGTCCCGGAAGGGAATCCCCCGTTTTGTTCATTTCGGGGCTCATTACAGTTCAGGACTCAATGTCACGGTCCTGTATCTAATCTCGCAGAGTGCAATGCAAGACTGATGAATCATCAAAGAGTCCAAATCCGGCAAATCATTTTTTGAAAAACTGATTTTTAGAAAGAAGTGCCAAACATGAACTGCTTTGCCAGATACAGAGTCGCCACCTAAATATTTATTTTGGGAGAATTTAGGAAACCCTGACTCGTTGCTAAGGCCGCGTGTCCGTCATCACCAAAGTTGCCTCGGCTCGGGAACTTGGGTACGATTGTGGAAGGTCAGCTATAAGCACCCCCGCTCGCCCGATCAAAGATCGGTCTCTACAAAACATGATATCTAGTTTTGAAAATATTATGCATTCTTAATCCGATTAATTAGCTAATCTTACTATGTGATGCGCACAACACAAAAGTATAGACTAGATCGCCTAATTTGGAACAAAATATCGCATATCCGTTGTTTGGAAATGATTTGAGGTTTGCTACTCGCAAGTAGGCTAAAATACAGATTTCAATGAATTATTCCAATTCAAACAATCTAACCTTCACCCACAGGCATTCAGACAGTAAATCAACTAAGCAGTTAGCCTCATGGCAAGCATGCTTTCATGTTAACCTTCACATATATGCGAGATGCTAAAGCATAAAACACTCATAGTGTACTCCAAGCCAAAACAAAGAACATGTTAGTAATCAAATGTATGATCCAAGTCCATGTTAAGATGGCTAATGCATCGCAGGCAAAATACAGCTAGACTAGGCTCGGCTAATCTATGGATGGCATGTGAAATGCAACAGATAACATGTATTCAAGTTAGATTTGAAATACTATGCAATTAGTATGATGTGCCAAGCCGGGTGCATGCAATACAAATGAATGAATGCACACATGCATAGCATAAGGATGCTAATTGAAATATGCCCTAATACTAACCATCAAAAGCAGGTAAGTAAAAGGGAGAAAGAAGTGGGGGTTGGAAGACATGCATCACACACACGCACACTTATTACACAATTCGCCGTCTCTCGGAGGGATCAAAAGAATAATACAAATTTAACTAACTAACAAGATAATTAAATAGTTACAGACCACTTAACTAGTTAAGCTAATTAACTGAGCTAATAAAGCGGTAAAACAGCCTCGGGAAGAGGGTCCAATGCATGCGTGCTCGGCTTCACTCGGAAATCCACCACCATGCACAAACTGCCTCTGTTTACCCTGCTCTGCTCCTCTGAAAATTGTGCAAGTCTCAATGATGCTCCAGAATCACTTCCTGATCACTATGGAAGGTCACCGACCAAGAGGAAACACCAACGGCCAGGGGAAACTAGTCATCGACCATTGGTATGGCTCTCGGCCAAAGATATTTAGTCGGCCGGCACTAAGAATGGTCGGTCGACCATATCTTCCTGCAGAATCCTGTTTTGACAGTAGCAGAGGGCAAACAAGGCATGGCAATGCATTTCAAAGTAAATGTTTGCACCACCACACTCCTTATCATATTCATGACTCAAAGGAGGATGGCCCTCGACCCTCGGGCCACCAATCACGCATTCCGATGCATGATGGCCCAAGAAATCAAGTTGTGTATTTTGGTATCAAATGAAATGCAAACCAAAACAAATAATAGGCCCAACCTCTATCACAATCAATTCAAGGGGCAAGGCATGCATGCAAAATGCAACCTAAGCATGCAAGCTAAGTATGCAATATGAGCGTGCAAGCAAGTAATGAGCACTAGTCACACAACCTAAGCAAACAAACATGCTAGACATGTAACAATAATGCTAATGACCAACATGCAACAACATGTGAAGGGGACTTAGCATAGGAACATGTAAAGCAACTTAACACAAGATGCATGCCAAATGCAACACCACTTGAACATGCAACAATGTGCCAATAGACCGAGTATGTGACAACATGCAAGGCAAATGTACACACAAGCATTCATGCACACATGGTCCAAAACTTGAGCATGAAGGAGTAACTTTTAAGCCCAAACAGTGGCTAATAAGCTAAGCACATGAAAGCAAATGTATATACAAACATGTATGCAAACATGGTTCAATGCTTAAGCATAGAAAGGGGACTTTTAAGCACACTTAAAAGGGGACAAACATGGACAAATGGCAAGCATGATAAATTCTGAAAATCATGTTGAGGATGGTGCCAAACCAACTAAACAAAACAATCAAAGCATGCAAGCAAGGTTCAAGGCTCAACGCTATCAAAGGGGCTTAAACCATGGCCGTACAAGGCAAGCCTCAAAGGGATAAAAGGACTCAAAACAATCCTAAAGCAGACCAAAACAAGGTCAAAGGCACACCTAGATGGCATCTAAATGGCCTAAGTCTAAAGGCATGCATGATGACCCAAACACGGAGCATAAAACACAAACCTCTTGAAACATCAAAGAAGCCATAAATGCAAGTATACAAGCATACTATATGGACTGAAATGGCATAACTAATGGTGCCAAACCACTGAAACGATGCAAGTAGAGCATGCTAGAGGATCCAACACCCAAGGCCTACAAAGGGAGATTGCATGGTAGCTATACAAAGCAAGTCATGGATGACCCAAATGACCAAAATCAGACCTCAAGCACATCAAAACATGCATAAAAGCTTCACAAAGCTAAGCCAAAATCATGCTAAAAACAAGGTTCAAAGCACAAAGCATGTTAAGGCAATTTCATGGTATTACAAGACAAGTATGCAAAGCATGCATGGTGTGTCTAAACCAACTAAAAACAGTGCTATATCATGGCAAAATAAGCACAAATACTACTTAAGACTTGGCCAACATGAACTCAAGAAAGGTGCTCACATATGAGGCTAAAATAGCAAGTATTGAAGACAACAAGGAGAGGGGATGACCCTCTCCTTCTTAGGACCTCAAAACACCATCCCCACCACTGAAATCCAGAGGAGGCCAACACAAGGTGGTCCCGGAGGTCACCAAAAGTGCCCAAAAAATGAGGCCAAACAAGGCCTAAGAGGGGTCAAACAATCCCAAACCTCAAAGAGACCTTAAACAACTATCAAAAGAAAGTAAAAATAGAACTTTTACTAGTTATACACTAAGCTTAAAAACATATGCAAGTATGGCTAAAAGCCTATGCAAAAATGGGAAATAAAGGGGTAAAGTTCTTACCCTTGAAGACCTCTTTCAAGAACAATGCTCCAGAGCCTCTCCAAGCTTAGATCAACTCAAGAACTCTGAAAATAACTCCTTAGTACCTCAATAGCTAAAGGAAAGTGTAGCACTAGGTGTTTGTTTGTAAAATTATGAACAAAAACACCTTAAACACACACAAAATGGAATGAGACGGAGATATAGAGATAGAATAGATACACAATCCTCTAACCCTAATCTCAGAGCTCTGGAACTTCTTGGAACTCTTGAGGAGGGAGGAGAAGCCCTCCCTTTATAGAGGTTCACTCTTGCAAAGCTTACAAAACAAGCTAAGCAAGAGTGAAATCCCTCCATACACGTGTATGGAGTGGGTGAAAAGTGGATGCTAGCTATCACAGCTGGCATAAAATATCTGCCAAAAGCAGATGAACAATGATCGGCTAGCCAAAAATGACAAATTGACCAAAACAATGGTCGGCTGACCAAAAGGAGTGTCGACCGGCCAAACATTTGGCCGATGGTAAAAAAACATGGCCGGTGGCCTCAAGCCATGGCCGGTGAGGTGTGGCGATGGCCAACAAGCCATTCCTTACCCTCAGGAGCAAAACAACAAGTGTTTGGTGCAAAACCAAACACAAAATAGGCAAGTCGAGAGGTCTTGAGGCAAGGCACACGACCGAGACCTCCGAGAACTCAGGACGAACACAAACATGGATGATCACCGAGTGTTCAAATGGTGACGTCCAAGTCTTGAGGACGGTCAAAAATGGGGTGTCTACAATTCTACTACTGATGATGATTATGATGATGAAGTAGATTGTCTAGATGATGAAGAGATGAGGTTTCCAGGCGTGAAGTATAATGGTACCTATAATGGAAAAAAGACATGTATGAATCAAGATGGAGAAACTATATTGGAAGAAGGGATGATTCTTCCAGAAGTGAATACTTTCAGGGCTACATTGAGGGACTATATAGTGCAAACTGGTTTCAAGATAGTAAGAGACAAAAATGAGAAGTCTAGAGTAACAGCCCATTGTGCTGCTGAGGGCTACCCTTGGAGAATTCATGCATCTCCACTTCCAGATGGGATCACCTTCAAGATTAAAACCTTTGTACCTACTCACACATGTAGTAGGATGAACACAAACATTGAAGCTACATCAGCTTGGATTGCTAAAACAGTGGTTGAAAGTTTTAAGGACAATCCACACATGGGCTTAGATACTATGCAAGTGAAACTAAATAAAATGTTTGGGATTGAGGCTTCAAGAATGCAACTGTATAGAGCCAGAAGGAGGTGCAAGGAGCTGGAGGGTGATCATGGGAGCCAATATGTATTGTTGCCAACATATGCCAAGAAAATCAACAAAACAAACCTTGGTAGCTTGGTGGTCATAAATTATAACCTACCCTCTACCCTAGTCTCAGAAGATGGAGAAGAACCAGACCCTACCATTATTCAGTATCCATTGTTCCAAAGAATTTTCATATCATTTGATGCAATGAAAGCAAGGTTCATTAATGGATGTAGGCCATTCATAGGGGTAGATGATTGTCACTTGAAGGGTCCCTATGTGTCACGACCCAAACCCGACCCTATGGGTTTAGCACCGTAACCGGCCAGTAATCCTAGATTACCGAAGGCCTGCTTAACAGTAGTACAGTAAAACAGAGTTCAGGGCTCGGTGGAAGCCAATACAGTAAATAAATAATGTCCATTGAGCTGTGACAGTCTGTATGCCAAAAAGATTTTTCATGCATTCATACATACAAACAGTACAGTCTATATAAAATTTACAGTCACACAGAACAGGGACCTAATCCCTTGATAACAGTACAGTTAGCAGCTGACAGTCTATACAGTAATCCAAACAGTATGGAGACAAACAAGGGAAAAACAAAACACCCCAAAGCCATAGCATGGTGACTCGGAACCTCGCAGTGAGGCACAAAGGCTGGCTTGACAAAACTGGAGTCTAACCCACGCTCCTAGCTCCGATCTGGTGGCTGAGCACCTACATATATATATATATATATATAAACAGTGAGCTAAAGCCCAGTGAATAACATAATGCGTAAAGAGGTTAAGAATGAATGTCCTTGCAGTATGAAAACAGTTCATTTAAACAGTATTTCAGTTGTAGTTAGTACAGTCATATGTGGTACACCCATTAGCATAACAGTACAGTAAACAGTAGGTCTTAAAGACCGAACAGTAATGATGGCCATCAATCAGTAAACAGTAGTGGTTCCACGAGGGAACCGACAGAGATCTCTGTAACAGTAGCAGTAACAGTATACAACAGTTGCTAAGGATGCCACAATACATTTTAGAATATAGGACATACATTCAAACAATTAACAATAATTACTTCAGAAAACAGTTTCGTTAAACAGTCAGAAAACATTCTCAGTTGAACATATCTTTACACAATTGTTACTCACAGAGTTTGGGCAACAGTATGCTAGAGCGTGTCTCCCCAGTCGCCAACCCTACACAGTTAACAGATTGAACACACTAAGCTACACAGCTGGGAAAGATAACAACTTAATCCCTAATGCCTCAGTGTGTTCTACATCTATGTCTTCAATAAGATGTCTTAAACTAGGCCTAAGAATGCCTAAGATGGGATGAGGATGCAAAGATGTGATCAGAAAACAGTTTTAGAATATTCAGGAAAACAGAGTCCTGCTCGAGCGCAGGTTTCCCTGCTCGAGCGGTCATGCAACAAAGGTACATGCTCGAGCGTACTGTAAAAGTACTGGATGGGTGAAATCTCCGCTCGACGCCCGCTCGAGCTTGAGATACAAGACTCCGCTCGAGCGCCCAATCCTCCGCTCGAGCGGACTGTAAAACAGTGCAGAGAAATGCTGGATGCTCGGATTCCACGCTCGAGCGCCACTTTTCCCGCTCGAGCGGAAGTGCAAAATCTGGAAAACCCAGATTGCACCTCCAAGCTCAAACCAAGTTTAAATGCATCAAAACCGATCCTCTTGGGCTAAATTTCCAGAAAACACTTGTAAACATATAGTCATGGTTCAAAGCTCAATTTTGAGAAATCAAAGCCCAAGAGTGTTTAATTGAAACCTAATTTCAAACCAATTTCAAGAACAATATGAACATGCAAACATGCATGAATTCAAATCATTTTGAAGTTCCAATTTGATGCTCTAAGGAGCCAATTGATCCAAAAAACAAGTTGAAAACATGGACCATTACAAAATTATGAACATGCATGTACCATTTTACCATGAATTCAACTCAAAACTCATCAATTCAAACATGCATTCTAATCCTACATGTATGAACTAAAACAAGACTTAACTCTACAATTGAAGCATGAATCATGCAAGAATTAATTCTATGACAACAACAAGAAGATGAATGTCCTACTTTAGTCTTGTATTCAAGGTTTAGGAGTCCAATTTGACAATTTACACTTCAATTCCAAGCAATTCAAGCCAATTCAACAAAATGAACTCAATTCTCTCCTATTTCCTCTCTCTCTAGTCGGTGATGTGCTCAAAAGAAATGGCTGAGCAAATGTTCATATTAAGTATAAGGCTCAAATGTGTGAGATAGTGGTCCAATAGGGGTAGTTTGGTAATTAAGTCCAAAACTCTTTAATTAGCTCATTTTAATCTAATTTAATCATACCTAATCAGTTTTCAGATAATTATACCATAAAATCACATTAATTATGATGATCATAAAACATTAATCAATTCCGGATTCGGCCGCCGATAAGGCCTTCAATTAGCATCTTAAACATAAAACACGAACAGATCAAATAATCAATCAAACAGATAGAATACAAATTAACAAACACACTCAGTCAATTCAGTTCCAGTTTTCAGTCAGTCAGTTCAGTACTTTAATCAGTTCAATTATTAGTCATAATCAGTTCAGTTTAACGGTAATCAATGTTTATCGGTAAGCAGTGGTGAGGGTTATTACACTATGGTAGTGTTTTAATTTCAACAGTTGCCTTAGATGGAAATAATGGCTTGTTTCCATTGGCATTGGCAGTAGTAGAGAGTGAATGCACGGACAGTTGGTCTTTTTTCTTGCACAACTTGAGAATAATCATAGAAGATGCACTACCTTCTAGACCATGGACCATCATGTCTAATCAACAAAAGGTACTTTACTAACATATTCAACAACTACTTTACTTACATAATTATGCTTGATTCTCTAATTTTAAACTTCTAATGGTTACTAATGTTTCATTGTTTTTGTATACAGGGCCTTGACAAGATTGTGAGTGACATTATACTAGAGGCAACTCATAGAAGATGTTGTATGCACTTATATAATAATTTTCAAAGCCAAATTTCTTGGTTTAATTTTGAGGAAGCAATTTTGGAGGGCAGCAAGGGCTTACAATCAGATGGAGTATGATCAGGCTATACAAGCCATTCAGGACCTGAACAATGATGCTTTTATTTGGTTGTAGAAGGTTTCAGTTGAAGGAAGGTCTAGACATGTATTTGATGGTAGGATTAGGAGTGATCATATCACAAATAACATGATAGAGTCCTTCAACAATTGGTTAGGAAATTTGAGAAGTCAGCCAATTTTAATTATGTTAAAGGACATAAGGTGCAAGTTGATGGGTAAGTTTTAGATGAGGTACCAAAAGGTAATGCAATGGAAATCTAATGTGACATTGAATGTGAAGAAACAGGTTGGTCACACTGAAATGGTCAAGGACTTGCACAGTGGAGTATGCATGAGGTAATGAGTATGTAGTGAAGGATAATGAGGGGGTTAGTCATATTGTCCATATTGGGGCTATGACTTGTGTATGTAGACAGTGAGAAATATCTGGTCTTTTGTGCAAGCATGCTGTGGTTGCAATTTCTCACAGTAGGTTAAACACAGAAGATTTTGTCCACCCTTAATATTCTAAGACAAATTACTTGAGAGCCAATGGTGGAATGATACATCCCATCTTAGACCATAGCATGTGGACACTTATACCTGGGGACCCTTTACAACCCCTACATCTGAAAAGATTGCCAAGAAGGCTAAGGACTTCAAGAAAGAGGGCTACTCATGAGCCACCAGTTGGAACAAGTCCGAGAAAAAGGTCTAGTACCTTGAGATGCAAATGGTGCATGCAATTTGGACACAACAAGAGAACTTGCCAAAGAGGTCCAGTTAGGGGTGGAGCATCTACTGCTGGTAGGGGCAGTGGCACACCTAGTGATAGAAGCAGTGCCAAAACTGCTGGTAAGGGCAGTGGCAGATCTGTGAGTAGGGACAGAGGTAGAGGCAATTCAAGTGGAGAGGTAGTTCAGCTGAGAGGGGAAATGCAAGTGGTAGAGGTAATTCAAGTGGGAGGGATAGTTCAGCTGGGAGGGGAAATACAACTACAAGAGGAAGTTCAACTAGGAAGGGAAGTTCAAGTGGGAGAGGCAAGGGCAAGGCCAAGCATGCACAAGTAAGTTTTTTCTATTTGTTTTGCCTTTTCATTTGTGATTTTTATTTGTTTTGTCTATCCGTTTATGATATTGATATGCATATATATTTTTTTTTTTTGGTTTTTTGTGTGTTTGTGCAGATGATTTAGCTAAGCTGTTGATATTTTGGGTACAAGAATTAACATAGGTTGAAGGTATAAAGTATATGTTGCTTGATTGTATAGTTAGTAAGGATCATGTTCCACTTTTTTGTATTTTTATAGTGGACATGCAATGCTAAGAATAGCAATCTGATGATGTGGCCACTTTTTTTTTTTTTGTAGTGGTCATTAAGTATTTTATAAATACTCATTTTGTGAATGTAGATGATGTAATTGCATAGACTTGACAAATATGGTTCATGGAATGATGTTACTGAACATATTTGATAGGAATGATGCAAGTAAACTAAATGAACATATTTGAGAACAATCATGATGTAATTAAACAGTCCTACTTGATGTTTAGATGATGTAATGGAATGGTCTTTATGTTTACAGGTCATTATGTTAGTCAAATTAGATGTGTATATTTACATAATGCTAAAATAACTTCATCATATTTATATATGGTCCATTACAAAACATACTGCATTACAAAACATAAGGTCTATTACAAAATATTACAAAACCTTACATAAGGTCCATTACAAAACATTAGGTAAATCATTACCATTACATTTTGAGAGCAAGCATTAGGGAAATCAAACATAAAACAACATTCATGATCATTATTATCTTCATAAACCCCATGTTTGCTTCAAGTACTTGCATCCTTGTTTGCATAGCCCCCATTTGGTTCATTAAATTCATTGCATGACGTTCTTCTTCATAAGATGAAGTGTGCCTGTTAACAGTTGCTTGAGTGTCTTCCATTATCATTTCTCCTCCAACAGATGAGTTTACTGGTTTGCACCAGTCCCAGAATGCGCATTTCCCATTTGGGCATAAATAATACAATTTGCCTATATTTTTCTTTGATTCAGTGACTTTAATTGCTACTTTGCTCCCACAATAGCAGATCTTACTTCTAAACTTGATCACCCCCTCTCCATTACTTGATGATGACATATCCATATCAATACGTAATTCATGAAATGTGGGTTCATTATCGCTTTATAGACATATGATTTTGCTTGTATTGTGCTTTATTTTGATATGAATACCTGGTGTTGGATGTTTGTCTGTTTTTGCTCTTATTTGTAAATGGGTTATGGTATGCTTTGTGCTTTAATCTATAATATTATTCGATATTTTGGATGAACTGGTTCCTTTGTGTCATTCCATCAATTTTTTTTTTTAGTTAATTTGAGTGGAATCGCAGTGAATAAACGCGCTGTGTTGTGCTTTGGCCTCTTACTCGCTTTTTTGATTGTTCTTCATTTTGGTTGCCTCTATATTTTCGTCCTTTCACTTGATTTGTGAGCTGAAGACTCCTCGCAATAATAGATTGGTTGGCCAGGTGTTATGGCACTTTTTTGTTTACTTTGAAGACTTTCGGCTTTTTGAGGTGTAACACCGAACTGTAGCAAAATTTCGGAAAAATCTAGCAATTGTCGTAACAGTGTAAGGGCGCCGTTACATGTAATTATCAAACCACGGGTGGGCTCCCGCTATGTATTTGTCAAGAAAATTTAGGGACGGTAAATGCATTTTACAACTTAAATTTTATTGACTATCTTAAATATTATATAACAGTAACTGTTAGATATGAATGTGGATGGTAGTATTTTAATTATCTTCATATTGATTTATTCAATATTTAATATTGGTGTGTCTAAATCATTACAGTTGTGTACAATTTTTTATTGATTTTAAATATTAGGTGACATTTGCTTATTAATCCTGAAATTAAACTTTTAACCAAATCGTATTAGTTGTTTATGGTTTAACCGATTATACAAGTCAGTTAGTGGCACTAATAAACTATTTTTATATAAACTCATTTGACATACGGGAAACGAGTATGACACACTCCAATTTCACCACCATTCAATATATTGTTGCAAAAATTAATCTTTTTTTATTACAAACCTGCATTGGCGAAAATGAATCTTTTTAGGTACATACCCCGACATGGCGAGTAGTTTCATTAAAGTTAGATTAAGTCAAGGTTGAACTGAACTTTAAGAGAAGGATTTGGGAGTCTACGGAGGAGTTGTCCCTAAATTAAGTGTGCTGTATGTGTTCTTTTTAGACTAAAAGCTTGCAGGAACAAAATATGAATTTCGGTGATTGGTTAACATTTAAACTTATTTTAATGAAAAAAATGTTGTTATTAAAAAAATTGCTGTAAAGAGGGTGTTTGTATGAGAAGATATTTTTTGATCTCTTTTTTTTTTCTTTTTTT